TGCATGGGTGTAGTAAGATGGCATCTGCGCCGGAAGTGCGTCACCGCATGCCAGCTAAAGGGTCAAAAGCCAGAAAGTCTGTCCGGTCAGCTGAACGCCTTTTTCAGCCTGCAGCGGAAAAAGCACTCTGTCAAAACAGAGTGCAGAAAAAAAACTTCAGAACCCCACGTCATGATCTCATCCACCCCCTATCCCCAATTTCAGAATTCCTATCCCCAATTATTCCTAGAATATTCAAAATATAGACCACAGGTATGTGCTTAGTAGAAACTGACCATTGTCAGGACAATACGTGAGCATTTCAATAGGCAACACATAAAAAATGTGAGTGTAATTAAAGGCTGGACAGTATATAAGCAGATTTTTCCTCAGAACTTTCCTCCTCTACAGCTGGTGGCACCAATGAATGGTCTGTTGCCTCATCATCCACCTCTCTTGATTGCTGGAGCCCACTTTGCAGTGAACCTTAATAGACTACCACATATCAACTAACTCTCTCTACACAGACTCTTCCTAAACTACATAAATGTATTGACAATGAATGCTGGGAATCCACGTTTACAGGGCTTTTTTTCTCAGTGAATAGGTGCAGGAATTCCCCTCTTTTGAATCACCCCACTCTTCAAGCACGGTCCCTTTTTTCCACTCCCCCCTACCCACCTCCCAGTACTGCCCTTTTTGAGAATAGTATTATTTTGTGGTGCTAAGTAATTTGTTTTGGAATTTGTTCATCATAACATGAACACTAGTAACATAAATCCCCCTTCAGCCAGCAACAATAGATTCTCCCAGCAACATTAGATCCCCCAAAACAATAGACTCCCCCAGCAACAGAACCTCAGCAGCAAGCAACAACAGATCTCCCAGCCTCAATAGACCTCTCCCTCAAAGGTACAGTAGATGCCTCCCAGCAGCAATTGACCCCCCAGCAACATAAGACATCTCCCCACCAGCAACAACGCAAAAATAGAACTCCCCCAGGGACTATAGATCCTCAGGAAGCCAATATCAATAGACCCTCCAGCACTCCCCAGCACCCCCCGCAATTACATACATTTAGTGCTGAAGGTACCGGAGCTGTGTTTCCCCACGTTCCTGCTGAAAAAAAAGCCCTGCTCCGTTATAATGAGGGGACCAGCACATATCAAAGACCCCAGTTGTGACCATTTCAACCCTGCTGAGCATAGCTGAATGGTCAGACACAGCATTATAGGTCCTTTAAAACTTGGAAGGGAAGATTGAAATTTATGATTCTGATGAATTTATGGTACGATTTGCAGAAACTGAGAATCTCAAACCCCCCCTATGTGTACCAACCTAATCACACTGCAGATTCAAACCCCATCTCTACTTAGAAATTTTGATGCTGTGTTGTCATGTTTAAGAAGAAAATAAGAAATTACTACTGTATATTTCTGGCATATCAACAGTTATTTTTTTTTTACTTGCAGCATGTATAAAGGGGATATGATGGGGGAAATGTGCAGAAATGTACTAAATATGTTTTTTTTGTATTTTGCTATGACATATATTGTAAGTAATTTCCTGTGTATGATCTGCTTTCATTACATGGAGCAATGCAAAGATATACAGTTGTGTTCAAAATAATAGCAGTCAGACATCACTAACCGGATCAATCACTGTTTTTGGTAGAAATGATATTTCTACATGGCAAATAATTTCCTAGCAGGTGTAGTAGAGTAATAGAAATCCAACAGACCCAACAGTCATGACATGCATGCTGCTGATTCTGTGTAATTGAATCACTAATTGAAAGGGGCATGTTCAAAATAATAGCAGTGTGGAGTTCTATTAGTGAGGTCATTCATTCTTTGAAAAACAGGTGGCAATTACTGCCCTTATTTAAGGAAGGAAGGCAGCAAATGTTGTACATGCTGGTTACAGTGCATTTCTCTCTGAAATTCTGAGGAAAATGGGTCGTTCCAGACATTGTTCAGAAGAACAGCGTACCTTGATTAAAAAGTTGATTGCAGAGGGGAAAACATATAAAGAAGAAGTGCAGAAAATGATCGGCTGCTCAGCTAAAATGATCGCAAATGCTTAAAAATGGCAACCAAAACCTGAAAGACATGGAAGAAAGCGAAAAACTACCATTCGAATGGATATAAGAATAGCCAAAATGGCAAGGACTCCACCAACAATCAGCTCCAGGAAGATGAAAGAAGGTGTAAAGTTACCTGTGAGTACTGTTACAATTAGAAAGACGCCTATGTGAAGCCAAGCTATCTGCAAGAAGCCCCCGCAAAGTCCCACTGTTGGAAAAAAGATGTGCTGAAGAGGTTACAATTTGCCAAAGAGCACATTGACTGGCCTAAAGAGAAATGGCGCAACATTTTGTGGACTGATGAAAGTAAGATTGTTCTTTTTGGGTCTAGTGGCCGGAGACAGTTTGTCAGACGACCCCCAAACACTGAATTCAAGCCACAGTACACTGTGAAGACTGTGAAGCATGGTGGTGCAAGCATCATGATATGGGGATGTTTCTCATACTACGGTGTTGGGCCTATTTATCGCATACCAGGGATCATGGATCAGTTTGAATACATCAGAATACTTGAAGAGGTCATGCTGCCTTATGCTGAAGAGGAAATGCCCTTGAAATGGGTGTTCCAACAAGACAACCACCCCAAACACACCAGTAAACGTGCAACATCTTGGATAATAATATTCACTTTTCTTCATTTTTTTTTTTTAGAGGAACAACACAAATTTGATCTATTTTTCTTCATGTTTTGATTTGGAATAGAATGTGTAGTGTTCCCAATGCATTTGTGTGTATGGAAATAAAAGCTATTAGAAGGATTTTGAGCTTTATTCACTTTTTTCAACACACTGCTATTATTATGAACACAACTGTATATGCCACTGTTCTGTGCATACCCTTTTAGAAAGAGCATTGGGCAATGAGAGGAAATCTCACACTGTTTTTCTTTAGACTTGTACATTTTGTATCTTTTAAAAAAAGCATAAAATACTACTATGGGAATGCCTCAAGTAAGGGAGTTGGGCTTTTAGCTGTTGGTTTAGCATGACGACTAAGCATAAGGCTTTTTTAGAAAGAACGCTCCGCAATTGCGACTTCCATTTTTTACTCTTGAAAGGCATCCTTTAAAGTAAATATACTGTAAGTAAAGCCTGTGCAGTGGACTGTGGTTAATGTGGTAATAAACTGGCAGCTACTAGCAATACCAAAAATGTGTGAATACAACCAAATGTGTGAAAACAAGCATAAATAAATGCTGTGCTGCCACTTGTGAGTGAATGTGCACACTACATTCGTGGTAGTGGCCCACACATAAGCATGTACCTCTATATCATATAAACTTAAAATGTGCCCCTCCTCCTCTGGGTCTTGATACAACCTTATAAAAGGGGAAATGGTTATATACCCTGCGTGCTTAGACCAATACTGTCAATTGTGTTACATTAGTGAAATATTGTTCAATTAGTGTACCAGTCATAAACATCAATTCTCCCAATATAAACCAGTTGCATTCAAAACATTAAACCATATATATACATAAACACAGCGCACTTGTATGCGAGTTTTAAAGTCTCAGTCTACCACTAACAACATTTGAATTTTTAAAGTCCCAATGTGAGAAACTTTCCCCATCCACATCCAATGTGAGACTAGATGATGCCGTGATCAATCTTCTTATCCGCTCCTGATGATGTCATACCATGAAAACCATTCCATGAAGCTCTCTACGCACTGTTGTTGTGCTAATTTGAAGGCCACACAAAGTTTGAAGGTCTTTAGCTATTGACCCTTTAGCTATTGCAGACAGTTGGTGACTTATGCGCACTGTGTGCTTCAGCATGCGCTGACCCTGCTGTGTCATTTTACGTGGCCTACCACTTGGTGGCTGAGTTGCTGTTGTTCCCAGTTGCTTCCACTTTGTTATAATCCCACTAACAGTTGACTGTGGAATATTTAGCAACAAGGAAATTTCACAGATGGATTTATTGCACAGATGGCAACAAATCATGGCACAACTGAGCTCCTGAGAGCGACCCATTCTTTCACAAGTGTTTCTAGAAGCAGTCTGCATGCCTAGGTGCTTGATTTTGTACATCTGTGACCATGGAGGTGATTGGAACACCTGAATCCAATGATTTGGAGGGGTGTCCCAATACTGTTGTCAATATAGTGTATGTATATGGAATACCCAAGTGTTTGAGAAATGGTGAGCCACCGCCTGGAACCCATCACCATTGTTACCACACTAATGCTTTCTGAACGTTTCACAGCCTTTGGACACTGTCTCAGCTGAGCTGTGGAGTGGAGGCATTTGACAGGTGTGGTTGGGTGCCATCTTCTTACCCTGTCTGTTGAAGTTTGAATGCTGAGGAGGACAGTTTCATACACCTGGGTATACCCCATAATCCTGGACTTGCACATATAATTTAGTGCTGCAGCACATTTTTTTTTTTTTCAAATGGGAAGCTGTGGTTCTACTTTAAGGTTCATTCCTGTGGTATAGTTCAAAATTGGGAATAACCTGTAGTTTTCAGTTTATCATTAGGATAGTTTTAGAGTATTGAGAAATTAGATCCCCTGTTGATGAGTTTTTTTATAGCTCATTCAGATGAATAGCCAACATGCCAAATGCTAAACCTCAGAATTCAAAATTGTATTGAACTTCCATTTTTGAAAAAGAAGGTGCGAATGACTCATATCCACTTTCGGTTGGCCATGCACAGGATGTCTATAGCTGTCTGTGTGTCCCCACTGAGGAGATTTACCCCTCTATACTTGTCCTGGTGACAACTGTGCCAGACAGACATTCTTCTGAGGTTGTCAAGGAATGCAGCATGCAATTCATTTCATGCTGCTCCTTGATTTTGGAAAACTTTGTGGAAGATAGAAACTGTATACTGTTATAGCAGAAAGTGGTTTGAACTTAAAAAAAATATTATTTGTATTTTCTCTACCCTGGATTATTATTATTTTTTTATTTTGTTTTGCATTTCAGAAACTATTAAATCGTGGGCAATTGCAATATCAAGTAAGTAAAAGGGGTCCTGCTTGAATCTGTACATCAGGACAATGTAATTCCCTGTGGTGGCTTGTGTATTTTAATATTTAAAGTGGTTCTAAAAGATTGTCTGGGAGCGAGTAGAGGGATAAGCATGTGCCTCTGTCTGAATAGGACCCTACATAGTTTCATTCAATAATAATGTTTTGTAAATTATTATTATCATTTATTTACTTTGTGTGTTTTTTTATCGCAGTCATGTGCTTTTTGTTTTTTGTGCTTTTTTTAGCAGTCATCCTAGTGCTTCTCGTTCCCATTGGTGTCTGCATAAAATACTTTGGTAAGAATGGAAAATAAACAGCATTTTGAAAATGGTTCTCTTCTTTATAGGAAAAAAAAATCTGCATATAAAAAGTGGACACACTGGCCATGGCAGCTAATCATATTTATTGTTTCTACTTTTCCTAAGTTTGCTCAGCAAATTAACACTGCATCATACTATATGCTATGGCCAAGAAACTATCTTCTCCTTTGTTTTTTTCCATTACTCAGCCCCAATTTTCAGTTTCAAAGGTTTATTTATGCGAATGACATACCTTCTGAAACCCAGTCTGTATGACAGCTTGCTGACAAATACTATATTTTACCTCTCCAAGGCTTAGATCATAATGTAGTTCTGACCCTGTTTAGGAAGTTACAGAGAATGTTCTTAGTTTCCTGAACTGTAAAAAGACAATTACTTCACAAGCCTGACCCTGCTGGGGTGGAAACTGACATTAAAATGGACTCCCCCCCCCCCCCCCTCCAAAAGAGCAAAAGCACACATGTATTCAGCTCTGCATAATTAATCAATAACACTGTACAATCATTTCTAAAACTCACATTTTCTATGTGAACTTACTGTTTAATTTTTTTTTTTTTTTTACTACCACTTTTTCTGAAGCACTGATTACATAGCTCCCAGCTGCCACTTAGGAAGGATGCACCACTAGTGCCTTCCATTGAGCTTTCATCAGCAAACCGCAAGATCTTGTGAGATGTCAAGAAGTCTTGCAAGATCTTGGGAAAAGGTGAATTCATTCTTTTTTTTTTTAGCTCCAGGACACATTAGGACAGGGGTGTCAAACTCCGTTTCATTGTGGGCTGCATCAGCATTATGATTGCCCTCAAAGGGCCATTTGTACTATATACTATATAAGACTATATAAATGTATCTATGGTTCTTTTTTTGTCAGGGAATAGATGCAGGAACTCAAGCACACCCTCCCTCCCGCCACACCGAACTGTATCAAACGGTGGGTGTGACCAAACTGAACTAACAGTGGGAGGGGCAATAAATACCAGGAATGTGTTATGTGCAAAGTTCAGGGATGCACTGGGTACAGAGTGCAGTTTTAGGGGTGTGCAATGCACAGAGTGCATAGTTCAGGGGTCCGCTACGTATATAGTGCAGAGTTCAGGGGTGCGCTATGTACATAATGTAGAGTTCAGGGGTGCGCTATGTACATAATGTAGAATTCAGGGGTGCGCTACATACATAGTGCAGAGTTTAGGGGGGTGTGCTACATACATAGTGCCGAGTTCAGGGGTGCGCTATGTACAGAGTGCAGTTTTAGCGGTGTCCAATGCACAGACTGCATACTTCGGGGGTCCGCTATGTACATAGTGCAGAATTCAGGTGTGCGCTATGTACATAATGCAGAATTCAGGGGTACGCTACATACACAGTGCAGAGTTCAGGGGTGTGCTACATACATAGTGCAGAGTTCAGGGATGCGCTACATACATAGTGCAGAGTTCAGGGGTGTGCTACATACATAGTGCAGAGTTCAGGGATGCGCTATGTACATAATGCAGAATTCAGGGGTACGCTACATACACAGTGCAGAGTTCAGGGGTGTGCTACATACATAGTGCAGAGTTCAGGGATGCGCTACATACACAGTGCAGAGTTCAGGGATGCGCTACATGCACAGTGCAGAGTTCAGGGGTGCGCTACATACACAGTGCAGAGTTCAGGGGGTGCGCTACATACACAGTGCAGAGTTCAGGGGTGTGCTACATACACAGTGCAGAGTTCAGGGGTGCGCTATATACACAGTGCAGAGTTCAGGGGTGTGCTACATTCATAGTGCAGAGTTCAGAGGTGCGCTATGTACAGAGTACAGTTTTAGGGTTGCCCTGTACACAGAGCGTAGGGTTCAGGGGTGTGCTACATATAGAGTGCTTTGTAAAGTACAGTTTCAGGGGTGCTGTATGCACAGAGTGCAGAGCTCAGGGGATGTGCTGTGTACAATGTGCAGTGTTCAGCTCCCTTTCACAGGCTGCCCACATCTCACTTCCACCCCTTCTCAGCGCTGACCTCTGAACCACTCTCCTCCATCCCCCACCTGTGCACACATCTCCCTATACAGCCCTCATCTCTTCCCCCACCCAAAAGCTTCCTTGAATCTTACCTATCTGGCTTGACTCTAGTACCTCCTGGCAGTGTAGGCAGCTCTGCACCTCTCTCTCACTTGCATGGAAATGATTGGTCAGCATCTGTGCACCCAGGCACTAATAGGGATCACAGTGCATCTTGCCATATGATGCCCCATCCCACACTGCACCTGCATCTGTATCTCCCCTGTTCTTGCTCTGAATGCAGGGAAGGCAAGTATCCGTGAGCCACCAAGAGGAAAGCTGACTTTGTAAACACAGAAGGCTTCTGTGTTTACAAGTGACAATGGTGAGTGGGGAGCGAAGGGCAAGAGCTGGAAAAAGGCGGAACAAAGTTCTGCTGTGTTCCCGCTCAAAAAAAGCCCTGGGTGCGAGGGCCACATGAAATGGCGGGCTGGATTCAGCCCCCGGGCCTTGTGTTTGACACATGTGCCTTAGGTGATGTAGCACAGTTTGTGCTTGTTTATACTTTGCAATGGTTATAGCATTGACAGTTTTGGGTGACATAATGATGTTCACATTGTTAAAGCCACAAAAGTGCAAACTGTTCCAGATCTCATAAAGCACATGTGCAAGCTCTGGCATGGATGTCATTGGTGATCTAGCCAAGAGAATTAGGAAAAAGAAGCCAACCACCAACAACCTAAATATTCAAAATGGCACCATGGTATGGATGGAGCATAGGGTAGACAAAGCCATGGGATATGGGAATTTAGACATACTGAGACAGCTAACCAAGTGATTCTTTGTGTTTGCTAAAGACAGTCTATGGATGTTAGTGGTCATTTGATTATGTGTATAGGAAAGGAGGTCCGCCTTAACTGAGGGCATGGTAAGATTCATAGCCATAGATTGTATTATTATACAGTAATTAGAGCGCTAAAAGGTTTGCTCACCACTGTACAATATAGTGGGGGACAGTACATGAGACAATACAGTAAAAAACAATACACGAGGGGTTCGAGGGCCCTGCTCTTTTGAGCTTACAATCTAGGAGGGAGGGGATAGTGGTACAGGAGGAAGTGGCTTTGGGGCATGGAGTGGTAGGAGGAGTGGAGGAGATTGGCTGTTAGGTGAGGGTGGGGTAGGCTTCCCTGAAGAGATGGGTTTTCAGGGTGCGCCTAAAGGTGAGGAGGGTAGGTGACAGTCTAATGGATTGGGGTAGTGAGTTCCAGAGGATGGGGGAAGTCCTGGAGAAGTCCTGCAGTCGGGCGTGGGAGGTGGAGACCAGGGAGCTACAAAGTAGGAGGTCTTGTGAGGAGCGAAGATTACGGGTAGGGTGGTATTTGGGTATCAGGTCGGTGAGGTAGTTTGGGGCAGCATTATGAATGGCTTTGTATGTCAGTGTTAGTAGTTTGAATTTAATGCGTTGGGCAATCAGAAGCCAGTGGAGGGAATGACAGAGGGGGGTGGCAGAAGCGGAGCGGTTGGTAAGGTGGATGATTCTGGCCGCTGAGTTCAGGATAGACTGAAGCGGGGATAGTCTGTGATGTGGAAGGCCGGTGAGAAGGGAGTTGCAGTAGTCCAGACGTGAGATAATAAGGGAGTGAACGAGTTGTTTAGTAGTGTCTGGGGTTAGGAACGAACGTATTTTGGAGATGTTGCGGAGGTGGAACCTGCATGAGTTTGCCAACGATTGGACATTGGGTTTGAAGGACAGGTTGGAGTCTAGAGTGACACCTAGGACTTTGGCTTGCGGGGTGGGACTGATGGTGGCGTTGTTGGTCGTGATGGAGAGGGTGGGGGGGCGCGGGCTGGGGGGAAAATTAGGAGCTCGGTTTTGGAAAGGTTCAATTTGAGGAAGTGGAGCGACATCCAGTCTGATATGTCGTTCAGTAGGTGGGTGATACGGGCGGAGACTGAAGGGGTGAGTTGAGGGGTGGAGAGGTAAACTTGCGTGTCATCGGCGTAGAGGTGGTAGTTGAAGCCGTGGGAGTGTATCAGTTTGCCGAGGGAGGAGGTGTAGATGGAGAAGAGAAAGGGCCCGAGGACAGAGCCTTGGGGGAACCCAACAGAGAGGGGGTACTAGTAGTTAGTAATAGTACTAACTAGTAGCAAAGCAGCATGGGAGTAGAGGGCAATATACCAAACACAATAAAATAAACAGAAAAAGCAGACTGCTGTGGAAGTTCACCCAATGTTTATTCACAATGGTCTCTTCACAAATGTTTCTTGAACAAATATTCTTTCGGCTTTATGTGTATAATCAGGTTTCTTCTGTTTTCTTTCAGGAAAGGTTCGGGGTATATTCAGTAAGTAGCATTTATTTCATAGTGCATTTATGCTGGTTATACTGTGTCAGTTTGTGGAACATGTTTAGCAGCATTCTTGGCATTTTGGGATAGCTTTCTAACCAATGTTGGGGAAAATAAGATACAGCACTATTCAATATGACTTTTGAATTGTCTGTATGCTTGAAGACATCCCCCTTGACCCCTCTGAGTCCAGATCCACTCTCTGTCTTTCCTTTTTTTTTCCCTAAAGAGATCAAGGTTTCTTTCATCCAGAATATATAATACATGAAAACACTAGCAGCCCCAGTCTGCAGAGCTTCCTTGCCACAGCCCTGGGACTGGGCTGTCACTGGAGATGGCACAGTCACCAGACCTGCAGCTCTTTCCCTTTCCTTGGCCAATTTAATTTATAATCTTGGAAGATTTTATGGAGCAATAATCTTCAGTTTTTGTATGATCCAATATTAAAAAGAAGTATTCTGCAGGTCCTGCTGAACAATATTTACTAGTTTGTACAATTGATGTTTATTTGCACATAGGACACATCATTGTTTAAATACACTTTATTATACACTCACCATCCACTTTATTAGGTACACCTGTTTAATTGCTTGGCAACACAAATTGCTAATCAGCCAATCACATGGCAGCAACTCAATGCATTTAGGCATGTAGACATGGTGAAGACGACTTGCTGAAGTTCAAATCGAGCATCAGAATGGAGAAAAAAGGGGATTTAAGGGACTTTGAACGTGGCATGGTTGTTGGTGCCAGATGGGCTGGTCAGAATATTTAATAAACTGCTAATCTACTGGGATTTTCACACACAACCATCTCTAGGGTTTACAGAGAATGGTCCGAAAAAGACAATATATCCAGTGAGCAGCAGTTGTGTGGATGAAAATGCGTTGTTGATGTCAGAGGAGAATGGGCAGACTGGTTCAGCTGCGACATTCAGATGGTAGGGTCAGAATTTGATGTAAATAACATGAAAGCTTGGATCCATCCTGCCTTGTATCAATGGTTCAGGCTGGTGGTGGTGTAATGGTGTCAGGGATATTTTCTTGGCACTAGCAAGGTGTACCTAATAGTGGCCTATGAGTGTAAGTTTAGGAGTAATACTCTTGTTGCATGAGTTTGTACATATATTGAAGACACAGTATTGATTAAAGTTCACTTTATATTTTGTTTATTTGCACAGAGGACAGCATTGTTTCAGTATCTTATTATAAGCTTAAGAGTAATATTCAGCAAATAGTATGGAGCATTAATCTGTAGTTTTGCCCAGTTATTATTATTATTATACAGGATTTATATAGTACCAACAGTTTGCTCAGCGCTTTACAATATAATGGGAGACAATACAGCAACAATACAGTTCAATACAAGAGAGTTAGGAGCGCCCTGCCCCTTGGAGCTTACACTCTAAGAGGGAGGGGCTAGTGGTACAAAAGGTAATAATTGTGGGGGATGGACTGGTAGGAGGAATAGAAGATTTGGTTATTAGCTGAGGGCAGGATAGGCTTCCCTGAATAGATAGGTTTTCAGAGATCGCCTAAAAGTGAGCAGAGTATGTGATAGTCTGATGAATTGGGGTAGAGAGTTCCAGAGGATGGGGGAAGCTCTGGAAAAGTCCTAGAGACGAGCATGGGAGGAGACAAGGGAGCTAGAGAACAGGAGGTCATGTGAGGACCAGAGAGTACAGTTTGGGTGATATTTGGAGACAAGATTGGTGATGTAATTTGGGGCAGAGTTATAAATAGCTTTATATGTTATTGTTAATGTTTGAATTTTATCCGTTGGGCAATGGGAAGCCAGTGGAGGGATTGGCAGAGAGGGGTGGCAGATATGGAATGGTTAGTAAGGTAGATGAGTCTGGCAGCAGCATTCATGATAGACTGAAGAGGGGATAGCCTGCGATGAGGTAGGCCAATGAGGAGGGAGTTACAATAGTCAAGGAGAGAGATAACAAGGGAGTGAATACGTTTCTTAGTGGTTTCCGAGGTTAGGAACGGGCGTATCTTGGAGATGTTACGGAGGTGAAGTCTACAAGATTTGGACAGTGATTGGATTTGGGGGTGAAAGGACAGATGGGAGTCTAGGATTACACCTAGTACCCTGGCATGAGAGGAGGGACTGATGGTTGTGTTATTGATCTTGATGGAGAAGCCAGGGGAGGGGGCACAGGCTGGGGGGAATACTAAGAGCTCAGTTTTGGAAAGATTGAGTTTTGAGGAAGTGGAGTGACATCCATGCCCATATGTCACTTAGTAGGTTAGTAATGTGAGAGGAGACTGAAGGGGTGAGGTGAGAAGTAGAAAGATAGATTTGTGTGTCATCACCATAGATATGGCACTTAAAGCCATTGGAGTTTATCAAGTGACCAAGAGAGGACAGAACCTTGAGGGACCCCTACAGAAAGAGGGAGTGGAGAGGAGGAGCCAGAGTTATAGGTAACGCTAAAGTAGCGCTGCGATAGGTAGGAGGAGAACCAGGAGAGAGCAGAGTCTCGGAGGCCAAGAGAGTGGAGTTTTTTGAGGAGGAGGGGATGATCAACAGTATCAAAAGCCACAGAGAGGTCAAGTAGTGTCAGGGGCCGCGGCGGCGTGTGGCTCGGCGCAGGCGCAGTGTGTGGTGTTCGGGCACCAGGTCCTGGCCGGCCGTGGCGGAGACGGAACCTGCGCATGCGCACTCGGGGCCGCGGGTGCGCGCCTGGCACCAATGACAGCGCAGGGTGCAGTATTTAAATCCGCTCTGCGCTGACACTGATTGCCGTTTTGGTCTTTCCTGTGTTCCTGCTCCTGTATTCCTTGCTATTTGATCGTTGCTGACCCGGATTGTCCCTGACTGTGCTGTATTCTCCTGCTCTGACCCCTGGCTTGACTGACCTCTCTCTTGGATGCCCCCCATTGGATCTGATCTTCTGTTACTGACCCGGCGTGTGACCCGACCATTCTCTACCCGCTGCCTTGTACCACGCTGCTCCCACGGTTACCGACTCGGCCTGTCTGACCACGCTTCTGCTCATCCATCCGTCCTGCTCGGGCACATCCGCCTCTTCACATCAGGCTCTCATCTTGCAGATACCTCTGGCGGATCCCTCTACCACAGGTGGGTGTACTCAGGGGCCGCGACCTGGTCTCGATCTGCTCCAAGTCCATCCCCACCATCAGGGGCCCTGTTGAACAAGCAGACTGGGACTTAGACTCCGTGCTCTGGGGAATCCTATCCTGTGGGTTGCTAGAGGTACAGCCAGGTGGTTCACTATAAGTAGTAACAGTATGGAGTAGTGGCCATTGGTTTTGGACATTGGACATTGGCTCCCACTTGTGTCAATTACAACCAGTGAGCCAATGAGGAGAGAGTGGGGCCGAGCCGTGGCTCTGTGTTTTATGGATGCATAGAGAAGGGCTCGGGAGCAAGCATGCACCAGTGTCCTCATAGCAAGCTTATTATTGGGGGCACTGGTCAGGGTGGAGGGTCAGGAGTGCCGGTGGGGGACCTGAGAAGAAGAGGATCAAGGCAAAACCACTGCACAGAGCAGGTATGTATAACATGTTATAAAAAAAAAACAAAAAACAACCTTTAATACTACCTTAAAAATGAAATAATAAAATAAACAAATAGTTTATGAATAGTTTTAAGGAATAGTGGTGCACCTTTTTTCACTTGAATTTGTGCACCAGTCTGGTCTGTCGCAAACGTGCACATCAGAGATGGACGCAGTTCAACCATTTTGGCTTCAACCTCCATCTTGGCAAAGGGATTAACCATCCTGACATATATTTTTCCCTCATTCTCTTTCCCCCCTCCCTTCCAGAGAAGCCCAGCGACATGTGGCCAGTATGTGTGTGAGTTAAGAAGGTCACAGGACGGTCATAGGAGCTGTAAAAGCCTCAAGAGAGTTGGAGTCTCTCTGTCCACAGAACCTGCAAATTGTAACACCTCGTAAGAGATAAGGCAAGCTTTCCCAAGAGTTGAAAGAGATTCTGACCTCATAAAAACTTAACTCAGTGTAGGTGACAGAATCAGATTAACTTCTGGTAAATCCATTTTTCCCCTATGTCTCATATCTTGGAATATGAGTGACTTACATAAAAACCATACATATCGTCAGATGGCAAATGAGCAGGCGAACAGTTTGATGGGTCACTCGAATTGTCTCAAATACATAGGGAAGCAGAAAAATAGATATCATGAACCGTTCAGTGTATAACTTTATAATTCATATCTAATCAATCCTCAGACGTGTCTGCATAATATTCTACCCGAGGGTGGGATGTCCCTTGTACAGATGGGAGGTTATGGGCCAAAATATGAGTTATGAAAGATTTTGGCTCTAGTTTAGGCCTACGCCCAGATGTTCCCTCCCAACCAGGGTATTGGTCTTTTGACTTCAGCAACACCCCCTGCTGGGAACTACAAAATGGGCTGTCAGGCCTAAGAAAGTTGAGTTGAAGAATTTTCCCATTGACCATTGAAACAGAGGGAGATCAAAGCACCCTTCTGCTCTGAAACTTGATCTGCTAACCCAGGACTTTAGCAAGTACTTTAACCCTTTCACCTCTCTCTGATATCTCTTTGCTGTGCTGTTAGTCTCTGTATGTTTATATATTTATATATATCTTAGTTACATCTTTTTCTGTAAATATTTGTATTGCCTTTTAGTAATAAATCTTTCCTTCTGAAAGTGTTGAACTGTTTCTATAGCGCTTTATTGCAATTTACGGATTCCTTCCTCTAAAGAGAACGCTACTGTGTTTGTTTAACCCTCTGTATAAAACGGTACTCAGGCCGGTTATACAGACGATTAGCTCAATCATTATAGTGTTATAGCTGAACGCCGAGTTTCTTCTTTCTCTGTACAATAAAGGAGGTGGTGGCAGTGTGAAGGGTTAATTGCGCAATTAACCTGACCCAGTAACAATCGATTCAGGCTGCCGGTGCATCGATTGCGGTCCATTAGCTGGAAAATCGTTGTGCAGGGTGCAGCTGAGTGTGCCATTGTTACGCACGTCACATCGCGGTTTCAGATTGGCCCGTCTTTCGGTCACGAGTTTGTTGAGAAGGTAAGGGATCTGATGCCGTGATCGTGACATGGTCCACAAAATTGTGTTCAGGTGCTGGCCATGCAGTTGATTTTCTCCAGAAGTGCAGAGACCAAAAGAACATAATGGGGTTGATTTACTAAAACTGGATGATGCAAAATCTGGAGTAGCTGTGCATGGTAGCCAATCAGCCTCTAACTTCAACTTGTTCAATTAAGCTTTGACAAAAAAATGGAAGCTGATTGGTTTCTATGCAGAGCTGCACCAGATTTTACACTCTCCATTTTTAGTAATTCAACCCCAATACCTCTACCCTGCTGCCAGTGAGCAGAGGACCTGCTGTATGGGGTGAGGAGGAGAGAGCAAGAGAGAGACAGCCTGAGGACACTTTTGCAGGGCTGCAGCTACAACCATGGCCAGAGGAGAGCCAGTGCACTTCCCAGGATATAGGACACTGAGATTGGCTGCATTTCAGTTTGGGAGAGGAAAATCCTGACTCTGGAGAGGGGAAAGACTGCTGGGAGTCTCTTGGAACTGTGGGGACATAGTCCCCAGGAGACAGCCCCCAGAGAACTGTATGGGATTACAAGTCCAAGAAAAATGGTGTGCTGAAGAATGGAAAAATGGAAGGAGAAGTCCAAGCTCATACAGCCTAATGAGAGGTGACTGTTGGAGTGTGCTGCTGACTGTGAGTGGTTGGGGATGTTGCTTGTTGTGAGAGTTTTGCCATATTGTTGGAATAGGACTTTGCTGCCGCATTTGCACAGAGACCACAACTGTCGGAGAGATCCATAAGGCTGGAGGATCTTCAATGGTTTTGTAAGAGCTCGCTGCTACTAAGTCCAGAGTTGCTGTCAATACCCCAGAGAATGGGAGGAAGCTTAACAGACTGCAAAGGACTGAGAGGCTGTTGGCCACAACCTCTGTAACATCCTCTTAAAGGTACAGCACCTTACGAACCATGGAATTAGTTTGGAGAGATACACTACTTAAGGTGGGATACAAAAATACATGATAGCTTCATTTCAGGTCTCTGGGCCCCAATGTTCAGTACCACACTGGCTAGTGGAAGACATTTTGGAGAGACGCAAGAATCTTTCAACTTCTAGTATTGCTTTTAGTTACATAAAGATACTTTAGGATGCAGGTATGGCATATTTAGTCCTCGCATTGCTTGTGTTTTGAATGTTTATTGCTGTTTCCACCTTTTTAGCCTTGTTAGACATATAGCCTAAATGAAAATATATCCATCTTTTTCAGCCTGGATTTATCAGTGGATGAAGCATTGCTGGAAGAGATGTCATCCGGGAACAAGGAACTCATACACCAGTGACAGTGGTAAGCACTACATACTGTACTCATCATTAGAAGAACAAAATTCAAAGTCAACATCCTTGGATTTTTAGATTCGAAAAGGCTGTGGCATGTGTATACATGCTTCATATGTGTCATTAGAAAGGACAACAGCTTCCTGTTTTCACTGAAGAATTCTAAAACTAGTCCTATATGGTTAGATTTCTCCTGTTCAGACAACAGTCTGAGTGAAAATCAGCTGTTCCCCCAAACACTCTAAAAACCATTGGTTTAAGGAATCTCCGCTGACAACTATTTTATGCAGACAGCTGTGTACCTGTGGCTGCCTGAGCACCTGAACACTAACTGCCTCTGATAGGATGCAGCTGCAGTTTGGCTAATAATTTTACACCTGCTTCAGTTGGTTTTTATATAGACTTTTTGTTGAGCCAGGTAGCGTTTGCAAAGCCTGTAATTTTGGCTGACTTAAGCTGGCCATAGATTATTAGGTTTTTAAATGAACAGATACCTCCATCCTTACAGTCGAGGTGGATGGAGGAATCCCTCCCATGAAGAAATTGTATTCTGACAGCAGAATGCTCAGTTCATAGAACATGGTCTAGATCTGAGCAATCAGCAATGGCAAGCTGCTCACCTCAAATGTAAGGAATAGTGCTTTCTGTGCAGAATATTTAGCAACTGTAACTTTTGAAGATGTCCAAACCTCAATGAAAGGCCACATGTTGTAGACATATAGGCTTGGTTGACAATAGTGTAGCCACATGATGAAGAGGAGCTGTTGATTAAAGAGTCACTTCTGTGGTCTAAAATAGGAGTCTCCAAACAGTCTAAACAAAGGGCTAGTTTACAGCCCTTCAAACTTTACAGGGGCCGGACTTTGTGAAGTAATTACGGGTAAATGGTTTTTTGTATTGAGGCCCTGCATGGCTGAATTTGGCTGTGTAGCTCTGTTTTTTTGGCACCTTTTTGGTGCAAAGTTTGTAATTTTTTTTTTAAAGAAAAGCCTATTAAAAAGGAATTTAAAAAACAAACTTTAGGAGATTTGGACTGTGGACAGTGGGAGTAGAGAATGTATCGGCATGAGAGTAAACAATGCCAATAGGCTTGCTGTTCAGTGGGAGTAAAAATATTATAACATAGTGTCCTATCATTGGTGTCAGTGGAAGGCATAGTGCACCATCATTGGTATCAGTGGGAGAATCAGTTCCCCATATCTGGTGTCAGTGGGGGGGAATAGTACTCCATTGTTGGCGTTAGTGGAAGGAATACTGCCCCAAGGGCCAGATAAACGCAAGCAAAGGGTCACATTCAGCCCATAGGCTGCAATTTGGAGACCCCTGGTCAAAAATCCAGAAGTCTCAGCACTTAAACAATAATGGCAATTTAAGGGAGTGTTCCATACAAAAGTATTCATTAAGTATTTGCAGAGAGTCCTTAATGAAAGGAGGGTTGGGACATTTCAATTTCCTGGCTAACACAAGTCTAATGCATTAAAGATGTGTGTGAGAATTGTATATGCTCGGGTTGGCCTCATTTCTAATCCCACACCCAACAGCGCAACTGTGGGGTAAGCAGTAAGGAGGCATAAGTGGTTGAAAAGAAAGGAGTCTCCATGTCTTTCAAAAATTTGGTGAGGATCGGGCAGGACCACCAGGCATAATGTCAGGTTTCTTTGGTAATGAGCCCTTGTAACCTAGGGTTTCCCAGGGTGCAGAATCTAAGCCCCAGCCTGATTTTTCATCAGGGCCCCTGATGGTGAGGATGGAAATGCAGCAAGCTGGAACCAGATTGTGGCCCCCAGGTACATATGCAGATTACAGATGGCAGGAGACAAAAGAGGATCCAGGAAACAAGCCAAGGTCAGGGCAGGTGGCAGGTGGCACAAATGAAAGTCAAAGCCGGGGGCGGTACACAGGAAGTCAGAAAATTAATACATGAAACACTAGGTAAAGAGGAACTCGGTGAATTAGGAAATGCTCAGGCAACATGGCCTGCACTCAGGATGTGTTATAAAGGGAAGCAAACTGGGAGGGGGGGCAGGAAGTGATGGAAGAAAAAGGAAATATAAACCCACAGAATAGCAGGCATTGCCCATAGATGAGTACAGAAGCCAAACAACACATGTGAAAGAATTTAGAGGACTAGGAGAAGCACTGCAGCAAGGAGGAATTACACAGGCAGGAAAACTTGTGGCGAAATCGTTACACACAAACTGATGACCTATTGCATCTGCATTCACACCAGCAATTGGGGGAACAAATCAGCTAAGATATGAACCAGTTTAACAGGGGTATAATACCATTTGTACAGTAGAATATATTCTGAGCAGATTCCAAAGAAGATATGCCATTGTTTATGAGAGATTGTGAAATGCAAAAGATCCTCCCAATTGGTCATGAATGAAGATTTGCTCTGACGATTAGGTTTATTTAATAGCCTACAAATATGTAAGATAACCTATTGCTATGTGCCAGAATTTTCATAGAATTATACTAAATCCAATGTAAGGGCATTATCAGACCAATACTTTTTATTAAGACCATGTCTCAGCAGAAGATATTTGTAAAAGTTATTATGAGTGACTGGGAACTTAGAGCATATGGTTTGAAAAGGATGAAAATTAGAGTCCTTATAAAGGTCTTCAACTCTTCTAATGCTGGTCATCTTCCATTTATTTAGAGACAGATCCAAACAAAGGAGTTCTGGTGATGTAAACATTTGTACTTTAGGAGAAGCCTGGCTATACAGGTGGCTGTAAATGGGTCCAGGAATGAGTAACAGGATCTTGGAGCCAGTTTTAGAGAGCAGATTAGTAATTTAGTATCTTGTTGAAGTGCTCTGTTTTCAATTTGTAGCCAGGATATTGTAGGCGAGGGAGTCCACCAGTGTTTAGTCAAGGATGACTGCTTTATAGTAAATAGAGATATTCAGAGCTCCCACCCCAGCATTTGAGGTGGGTATACACAAAAGAGAAGTGTGAAGGCATGGGGAAGTATTGTCTCAGATGAAAGAATTCATAGTAGATTGAAGCTTCCTTAGATGTACAGGCAGTATTGGGACAGGAAGAGAGCGGAACGTGTAAAGTATATGCGGTAATAGAAATATTTTGGAAAATGCTATATGCTCTGCCCATGAGGCTTTTGACAACAAAGTTCTTTACATACAGCTTGTAACTTTAATAATTGGTTATTGAAATTAAGACGAAAGAGATTGTAGTGCTACCCCTGCAGCAGCCGCTAGAATTTTTGGATTCTCTGTTGGCCGCTTAGCCCTGGGCAGAGCACCACCCTTGGCTGTCACGCAAAGAAAAATACATACACACTTGTGAAATAAATGAAAGACCAAAAGATAGTATGATAGGCAAAGAGTACATTTAACTGAAATTATTGATAAGTAAGATAATACAGCTGTCAGGGATCCGGGTATGACCAGAATTGTGTGGACTGACACAGGGAAACGCAGGCTTCAGGTATAGTAAATAATATAATTTATTAAGACTAACAATACAAACGCAGTGCAAAACTAAACATAAACACAGTGCAAACAAACTAAACCAAACCTCCAACAGATAACAAACATAAAATACAGGCAGGCCGGGTCGGTAGCAAACGGGCAAACGGAGTACCAGGAGCAGGCAGGAGAGTGGTCAGGACTAGCCGAGGTCAGTACAGGCAGAGTTCAAGCAGAGTCAGGACAGGAGTGACAGGATCAGGAAACCAGGGCCAAGCAAACAGTACAACAAGGCACTGGCTGCAGGCCTGGCCACCCCTTAAATACACCACCTGCAATCAGCCCCAGGTGATGGCTAATTGCAGGAGTGAGCCTCTGGTTGTTGAGAGCACCCGCTGGCCAGCCCTGGTACTGCAGCCCACAAGGCAGGTGAGTCCCACCACTATTGGCAAGTCCATTCCTGACAACAGCAAAGGAACAATGCAACATGGTACAGTACCTCTTTAAGAGACGTCCACCCGTCCTGCAGGACTTAAGATGTAAACAATAGCTTTAGGACTCAAAGGTTTTTTCTTAAGTGATCAAAAAAAAGTAACAAAAACACAAGACTAACTCACTTGTAGGCCCTCAGACAGAAAAGACTAAGTCTAGGCTTCAAGAAATATGTCAAAGCTACCACACATAACTAAAATTAGTTGTATTGGGTTCTTCTGACGGCTTAGTTGTGGCCCTTAAGTTGACACATAGTGAAAGCTGCAGTCCCTTTAGGAGGTTAATGAAATAGAATAAACCCTTTTAGTGGTAAAGTAATTTGCAGAGTTCTATTTAATATGCAGAACTGGTAGGAAAGATCACTTTAAAAATGCTGATGTGTTGGCAGGAGTCACTGGTGGTTAAATTGCTAGTAACAGTCACTGTAAGAAAAGAGAAGGGGGAGGGAGAAGATTGTAAGATGCATGTCCCTTTATGTGGAGAATGTGTTATGGTGGTGAAGATATTGGAACTGCCAGCATTCCTATTTAGTATGTTTAAAGAGATTCTGTTTCCCCCAAATCAATGGCACTATAAGGCAGTAAGGCATAATGAACAAGGAGCCAAATATATATATATCATTTTTTTATATGAAAAATTGACAATATTTATTTAGCAAAAATCTCTTTTTAAAATCACAACATGTGTATTGGCAATGATGATTACAGAGGTTTGCAACCAGGATATCAAAATAACAGTTAAGCATCCGTGTTTCGAGATACAAATTCTTTTCTTCAGGGATGCAGCTAGTGACTGTAATATATACTTTACAATACAAGGACGATATGTGCATAAACATTTAAAATACAAAAAGAATATATTAACAAGTATTCCTAAATTGTTGATTTTACCATGCACAAAGAGATTTATACTGACCCATATAGGTAAGGAGATTATTCTAGCCAAAAGATACTTTAAAAGAACCAGTGGTTATATGTGAACCACATGCTGAAAGATGGTACTATCTTGGCCCTCGTCCTCCGCCCACACTACTGGAGTCACCATGTGCAGCCGGACAAAAGATCCACCCCCAGGCTGTTGAA